CCCACACAGAGGCCTCATTGGCTATGACCCAATTGACAGACTAGACCCCACCCCTTCACTCTGAATCCTCTCAAGTCCCAAATTAACAACAGATTTTGTAACTACCAGAAAGCCCTAAAACAAATCCATTTCTGTAGACTTGATTCCTGGTTACGGGGACCCTGTAGGACAGGGTGGAACTGCTCCATATTTTGAGAATGATGGAGGGCAACACATGTACAAATGTGCTGGACACAATGGATGGATGAATGAATTGTGACAAGAGTGGTACTAGCCCCCACAGCTGTGTGGCCCGGCTGGTGGGTTCAAACCACCCACCGTTCTGGTAGGAGGCCAGGAGGCGAGCTCTTAAACGCCACCCAAACCGGTGCTGGTCTCTCCCCTCCCTGCTCCTCGTCCTCCCAGGATGAAAGATGGCGTAGAGATGACTCGGGAGGAATCCTACAAGGCCCGCTACCGCTTCAAGAAGGACGGGAAGCGTCACATTCTCATCTTCTCAGACGTCACCCTGGAGGATGGGGGTCGGTTTCAGGTCATGACCAATGGTGGCCAGTGTGAGGCCGAGCTCATTGTGGAAGGTAAGGGCGGTCTCCAGATGGGGGAGGAGGTCGTTGGGGTGTGTGTGTGTGTGTCACGTGTCACCAGACCTCAAATCTCGAAGCTACCCCGGACTCCTCTCTCTGTTTTTTTCTTAATCATTTTATTGGGGGCTAGTACCACTCTTGTCACAATGCATCCATCCATCCATTGTGTCTAGCACATTTGTACATGTGTTGCCATCATCATTCTCAAAACATTTGCTTTCTGCTTGAGCCCTTGGGATCAGCTCCTCATTTTTTCCCTCCCTCTCTGCTCCCCCTCCCTCACGAACCCTTGATCATTTATAACTTATTGTTATTTTGTCATGCCTGTCCGACATCTCCCTTCACCCATCTCGACTCCTCTCTTTCCATCAATTTCTTTCTTTTTTTTGTTCTCACTACCTCCACTCCATCCACCCGCAAGTCCTGTTGGCTCTATCTTCCAAGTCTATCTTGAGTCTGATCACTCTCCCCCCAGCCCCACTGCTCCTTATCTGGTCTCACCACTGCTCACAGGGACTATAGTAGCAGCCACATCACTGATGACTCGATTTCTGTTCCTCCCTTTCCTCCTTATACTGTGGATCCCAAACCCTTTGTGTGCATCCCACCCCCACAAGTCAGAAGAATCCTTGTGAAATAGAGACCCCAATAAAACAGGACTCACTGCCATTGAGTGGGTTTCAATGCATAGCCGCTCTGTTGGACAGAGTAGAACTGTCTCTGCAGGTTTCCAAGACCCTAACTCTCACTAGGGCAGCGGTTCTCAACCTGTGGGGCGCAACCCCTTTGGGGGTCGAATGACGCTTTCGCAGGGGTTGCCCGATTCATCACAGTATCAAAATGACAGTGATGAAGTAGCCACGGAAATAATTTGATGGTTGGGGGGGGGTCACCATCACATGAAGATCTGTCTTAAAGGGTCAAGGCATTAAGAAGGTTAAGAACCACTGCGCTAGGAGCAGAGGGGAAAGAGAGCCTCATCTTTCTCTTGATGCTTTTGAACTGCCGATCTTGTGGTTAGCCGCCCAAGGCACAGGCCACCACATGCCCAGGGCACGGTGGGCAATCAGTGAGATCTATGGTCTCCTGAGCGCCATTTTGTTACTTTAGTTGTGAATTTGCTAGATTCACAACTGATTCCGGGAATCACTCACTCACTTGGTGATTCCGACCCCAAGACAACCCC